TCCCTCCATTCATACTCTCCGTTTCTTCTATTTTTTTTTAAGTTGTCATTTTTGCTAGTGTGTGTTGTTACCATAGGTTGGTTTGTGTGCCTTATGTAGTGTATTAGGCAGTACTACACACTTCTTTTGGTTCTCTTGCCAGGCCAGCAGCCAGCAAGAGGCTAGGCAGTGGAGGCAGCACAGTATATCCCAATTTGCTGGATGCCAGCCATTGTTACCTGAACACAAGTCTCTGGCTTAGGTTGCACTTTGGCCAGAGATGGTCACGATGGGGCTTTGGAAATAAAACTTGGATTCAAGCAAGATCTTCCTTTCAGCCAGCAGATACATTGTGGCTGAGCAAGTACAGTCAAACAATGGTGTTGTACTTCAGGGCACAGTTTCTACATGGGCAAGCTCTAGCAAATAAGAGAAATAGAAAGGGTTTCAGCAGCTATCCAGGTAGACTCGCTCGGAATGAAGGATGCACCTGCATGCAAGCATCCTCAATTCTGATACCTCCATCTATCATTCCTTTCCCAACTCTTAGAAGCCATTCTGAGTCCTTGAGTTGTCTCTCGTAAGGCTCATGTAAACCCCTGTTTAAAAAATAAGACGAGAAAGCATGAAACACATCAGAAAACATTTAGGGCATAGCATTCTCTTCTGCTGTCCACCTGACTGAGGTTGTCATCAACAGGATTAAAAAACTCAAACAATAAACAAGTGGCAAAAATGGAAATGAGGGTTAAAAGGATAAAATAAATTTCCAGTAATGTAGCTTTTTGGTAACCAGAGAACAGAATTCAGAACACCATAAAGGTATCTATTGGGCAATGAAGGGCTGGCTGAACAGATGTAGGAAGGCCAAGCCATGGGAACATCTTAGTCAAATTAAGAATGCAATGGATTATTGGATATGTTGGGAACAGGGTAGAAGCGATCTGAACACACACGTAGAATCCATAGCTTAAAAACAGAAATCAATATTTTGAGATGGCTATGGCTATTCCAACTGGACTCAGACCAAGGATTTTACTCCATCTTGAGTGAAATTTGGGTCACTATCACCAAAAGAGAGGGCCAGAAGAGTCTCAGTGTGACACTGTTAGAAGGAACAATATTTTAAACAATATTCTGCTAGAAAAATGGTGTCCACAAAGCTTATTTAAAACAATAAAGACCTGAAACAAAGTTTTTTTTAAAAAAGGAGGTGGCTTAGCACGGTCCCTAGGACTAGGCTACTAAGAAGATGTATTCTCCTAGCCAACTGGCAAATTGTAGATAACATCTCTTGAAGGGTGGTGATGCTAACAGGAGGAATGAGATTGGTTGGTTTCCAATTGATTTATCATTTTAAGAGTGGGAGAAGAAGCAGAAAGCCTTTGGGAGGCAAATGATTCTTGTTTTCCACCCTCAGAAAGCTTCCCATGTCTTGAAATCAGCTATTTTGTAGCCAGATTTCAGGAATGTGATCTTGGCATACTGAGAGTTTACTCCTCCCTGCCCAAGATGTTATCCACGAAACATTGCCATCTGCGTTTGTGCTCTGAAGCACAGCAAAGAGAAAGATAGCCTGAGGGGGATGAGGTTTTCCTTAAAGCAGCACACAGGGGAAATCGTAGATTGTTCCAGTGGTCTCTGTTTTTCCAAATCACGCTCTGGAATTGGAAAATTAATTAGATTAGACTGCTTTGGAGTTAGGCTATTTGGGGTGCTCTGGATTGGACAGTCTCTGCACACCCCTTTGCTTTTTTCAGAAAGCTAGGACATACTGTGGGTATGAGCCTCTATGAAGCCAGTTGTGTAGGGTAAAGGGCAATCCCCCCTTCTGCCCCCGGAATGCAGTTGAATAAAGCCAAGCTGGCTGAGGGACCAGCTGAAAAGGAAAAGGGAGAACCAGCAAAGGCAGAATGGATGAGGACATCCTGGAAGCCAATCTTTGAATAAAACCATCCTTCGCTGCACCATTTGGGCTGAGTCTTGCTTAGATTAGTCTAGTATCTATGCTCAGAGATGGAGGTACTTTCTCTTGTCAAAGCAGCTCCAGAGAGAAACAAGAGAAATGTCAGCATCAGGGCAGGATGACCCACAAAGTGAAGCTGATAGGAACATCCAGGATAAGGGACAAAAAAAATGTTGTCTTCACGTGATGCACAAAACCCTCATTGTTGGGTTAGTTGAAAACAGCATCTGAGGTTTGTGTTGTAGGTAAAGCTTACCACTGTGCATAAAAGAGGCCAGTCCTAAAATGCAGAGTAAAAAGCAGTGAGAGGCAGGACAGTATAGCAATATGCTGGTAAACTACTGGACTACCACAAGGGTTCAATTCCATTAAGGCAGGAATAGGCAACCTGCTGTGTTCCAGATGTTTTGAACTATAGCTCCCATGAACCCAATCATGATGACCAACCGCAAAGGTTTGTGGGAGTTGTTCAGAAATAGCAATTTGCCTATCATTGTTTTAAGATGGGCTAATTAGTAAAGGCTGAGGTATATCTGCAAGGGCTACTTAAAGTGAGCTGGTAGTGGATCTCTTCCAGTGCATTTCATCAGCTGCTAATCATTTGCTACTTAAATTAGAATGTTGGAACCACAGGATGCATGTGGATTTACAACTGATTGTAGAACTATTGAAAAGAGACAATTATTCACACAGAAGCCCCTTCAAAGATACATGGAAATGTATGGGGGACAGAGTAGATACACATTGCTAATTTCTTCCTTGGTACAGTTAAATATCAATTCTACATATAAACATTTTAACTTTTATTTTTGTTAAATGGTGATTGCAAGTGATGTTCAACCTTTCAATACTCTGACATTTGCCTGAAACTGCTGGGAGAGATCAATATAGTGATGATACCTAATTGTACATCACCACTCTGGATCACACAGGTGATACTGTCAACATCTTGACCCAGTGCCTGAAAATGTGGGGATCTGGTTGGGATGAAACATGCTGAGGGTGAATCCTGAGAAGTTGGAGTTATTGTTTGTTCATCATGGATCCCTGATATCTTCAGTTGTGTCTCTTGATGCGGTTGTACTGCTGCTGAAGAAGCAGGTCCATCACTTGGGTGTCCTCCTGGACTTACAGATACTCCTGGACAGACAAGTAGAGAGGGCCTTTGACCACCTTTGACTGGCATGCCAATTGCAGCATTACCTGGGATGAGAGGATCTAACAACAATGATTCATGCCTTTATCACCACTCTCCCAAAACTGAACACATGAAAGTTTCAATTAGTATAGAATGCAGTGGCCTGATTGTTGCCAGATACTTACCAAGACAAGCACATTACACCAGTGTCCTGGGCCCTGCGCTGGCTTCCTGTTAGCTTCCATGGCAATTCAAAGTGCTGGCTTTGACCTTTAAAACCCTACATGGCTTGACACTGAGGTATCTCCAGTACTGTCTCCTCCACTCAATTTCACCTGATGCTCCTGGGAAAATCTATTAGTAGTCCCCATTTCTGGGTGATTAGGGAGATGGAAGACAGCAGATGTGGCTTTTTGGTAATGGTGCTGGTGCTATGCAACTCCCTACCCTGAAATCAACTCATACCTTGTTAGCTTCAGAACACTGTTAAAAACAGAGCTGTTTAGTTCTGTTCAGTTGTAGATGTCACCTATTTTATTGCTTTTTGATTAGTTATTTTTATTATTTTATCCATGCTTCAATTATTAAATATTGTGATTAAAATTATTTATACTGTGGATGTTTATTGTTGAGATTGTAACCTGCTAACAGGTTTTGATTATTATTTTTTAATAAATAAATGGATGACACAGAGTGGGGACAGACCTGCTAGGGTTATAGAAGATCATTGTATGGTTTCAAGTGAGCCAGCAACAGAATCACAATTTGTTGGATTTTTGTAGGAACTGAAAGAAGCAGATCATGCCTGAACCAGTTACTTTGTGCAGTATTAAGAGAATTGGAGAAGACAATTTTGCCTTTGAATCAAATGAATCACGTAAGCATTTGGAACACTTCTTGACTTCACAGATTGATTAGTAAACCTGATTTGTTCATATTATTCCTTGGTTATGGTTTATTATATGGTCATGGTTTATATATGGTCATGGTTTATTATGTTTTATCTACTATATTGCTTTTACTTTCTTTTAGTAAAGTACTATTAAAACTAATTAGATTGGACCCTAACTCACAGGGAGGTAAATAAAATATTGTGCATTTTTGCCTATTTAAACAAATGTTTGTTGAATTGGAGGGTCATAGAAGGGCTAATTGCTAACTTTTGGCATATGTAATGGTCTTCAACAGCTTTCAGGGATAGAATAGTGCTTGCATAAAGGGGAAAAAAACTCTGATCCACGAATTTCACCAAACCTTAAAAAAACCTCTCAGCAGTTTCTTAAAGTGGTTGTGTCTTCTCCCAGAAGGGCACCTCCATGTCTTGCATGAAAAGCCCCTGCCCTTTGAAGCACCTTTTCCCCTTTAAATCCAAAGCACTGCACAAGCCCTGTTATTCATATAAATGTGTAAATGTAAATTGCAGAAACCATTTGACTACAATGCAGAATATATTCACAGTGACATGTAGTAACTGATTTTTTTCAAAAGTGCCATTACCTTTATCAAATATCTACCTTAAAGGTGCAAGTATTATCTCTGAAGCTCTTAATGGCTTGGACCCAGCCGTTCACTATCCAGCTACCTGGCTACCTTGGTCAGCAGAAAAGGCCTTTTTGATGACCCTCACCCCCACTGCCAAAACCCTGCCTATCTGGTACACTAGAAGGGGTCTTCTCCTGAGTAGATCTCAGGTTGAGGAACACACTCTTCCGGAAGCTGTTTGCCCCAATATTCAGGAAAATAAGAAAAGACATCTCTTTTTATTATCTTCCTGAATATTGCCAAACGTTTAGTTGTTAATACATTTCAATGTTTAATTTCACTCCAATTTTAACTGTATTAATGTTCTAATTTATCATTTGTATTTTAATCACTGTTAAGTCAGCATGGTTGTTTTAAAAAAAACCCAGAAAAGCAGGGTAGAAATCTAAAATCTAAAATGTGCTTTATAAAATGGGCAAAGTTGGTTGCATGATTAGCAATGGCAAGATAACTGAAAGCAAAAGGATTTGACAGGGTAAAGCTTTCTGAATTAATTAAATGTAGAAAATTAGTTTTCCTCCTACTTCTCTCTTAAACAGAGAAAGATCAAAACTGAAATTTTTGTTATTCATCATGTATTAGGAACCAGTTTAGTGAAACAGAACTGAAACTGAAGACATTTCAATTTGGTCCATGCTGAATTTTTCCAAAAGTCATGAATGCAAGTGTCAGAGGAATCCTTAATCAGCACTGCATTGCATAACTGAAAGATCAGTGTAGCAAAGAAAGCGAGAAGCAAGCATACAGATATAGAGATTTGTGCAAGAAAAAAGAAATCTTGCTAAAGATTTAACTTCCAGATGTATTTGTTTTCCAACAGATAATGACATCAGCAAAGCAGAGTAAGTACGTCAGAGTTTTAAAAGGGTGGTAGAAGTGAGACCTGCAAAATATGTTGCATGTGTAGCTTCTGTTTCAGATTTCAGCCTCCCTTGCTCTTTCTCAGGACACTCCCTCTAATTTTCTCTGCCCTCCCCCCCAATCTCCCCTCACTACATCCCTTGGTCACTGAGCATGCTCACCTCTCAGTATTTGCATTCTAAGCCATTTTGCTCTCTGCCAGATTCTTGGTTCCTCTGAGCGTGTTGGATCCTCCACCTTATGAAGGTCCTGCGTGACACCTATCACTTCATTGAGGCCTTTTGTGCAATGCAAAGGACCTCTTCTTGTGCTTCCCTTAGCCAGAAATATGCTTCTGTATATGCACGCGTATGCTTCAACCCACTATCTCCAACGAAGTAGCTGCTCAGCTCTGCTGTGCTGTTTAGAAGCAGGAGCAGTGTTGCTGGGCTTCAAAGGAGTGCTTCGCCCAGATTTTCATCAAAGCAAAGTATCCTGTTGGAGATTTGTGCAACCTCTCACCCCCTTCCTGCTCCTGCCAGTTTCTCTGCTCTGCTCAACCTCCACCAATAATCAGCGTGCCAAGTGTAGCGACCCTGGTTCTGAATACCGCTCTCTTTTGAAAAACTTTTGCTTTTGATTAAATTTAGCTCATTCAAAATAAACCTGCCTTCTATGTATTTCAAGACATTTCAAGTAATATTTCTTTTAAAGATGATGTTCATATTGAAATCTAACACACACACACACACAAAGCTGCAGACTACATTCGGAGGAATATAATCAGTGGGACTGACACTGAACAGAACTGGACAGTTAATCCTGCTCCCAGTGAGGAAAATGTATTGCCTTTTGCAGGAGTTTTGCTGTGAAAAATGAAGTCTCTTCAAAGAACAATGCAAAAGCAAACAAGTAAGATAAACTTTCTTCTTTTCTAGTAGCGCATCTGATGATTTCATTCATTCCATTAAGATTTTTGGTGGGAAGAGGCAGGGTGGAATAATGCAAAGAGAATAAAACATTTTAATGTGGTAATGCAAACAATTAAATAGTCCTCATATAGATGCCTGAGGATGTTGGCTTCTGCTTACAATATCAACCAGTTCTAAAAATACTCTTATCCTTTGAATCATGCTCTTTGGACTTCATCTCCCTCCTTTCCCTGGAAACAGTTGCCTGCATGTCCTTATGGAACCATTCAGTACGTCAGTAATTTCCCTTATCTACTGCATGACAAGGCTTACAAAATCATAATGGGAAGACTCTTCATAAGGTCACTGAGTCCAACCATTGGTTTGATGCGCGAAAGCCAGAGCAATTGATTAAGCAAGCAAGAGATACTCTCCTCTGAATAACTGTTCAATTCCTGAACTGCTCTTATCATCAAGAAGTTTCTTTCAGTGTGTGAAATCTGTCCTCCTGTAACTTAAGCCCATAAAATCTAGCCCTGCAGAAAATCAGACAGTGTCCTTTTCTATAAGATAGTTCTCCAGAACTCAGAGTGCTATCATGTCCCACGTCAGCCTTCTTTCCCCAGGTGAAACAAACCCAGAGCCTTACCGGGACTTGTTTCTCTATTCTCATTTTGTTGCCTTCTTCTGACCCACTTCTAGTCTGTATTCAGGTTTCTTAACACCTGGAGTCCAGATTTAGCATACTAGAGGCTGTCTAGTTTTGAACAACGTGGGACCATTATTCCCCACAATTTGGAAAGCAAGGCTATACTAATGCTTCCTAGAGTTCTAGTACTTCTGTAGCTCTTCCAAAATTTGCTCAAGTGTAAGACAAGCACAGTATCACTTGGGACAGCAGTGATTTCCATAGATGGGTAATATGTGAAAAGTTCTAAAAATAAGGAAGCTAAATAAAATATACTTGGAGTTCTTGTGCAAAGATATGAATTGGTGATGTCAATTGTGAGTTACTGGTTCTACCTTTTCAGAAAATACAAACTAATCCCTTCAGATTAGACCAATTTCCCCAACCTGTTGCTTTTCACTGATCTCATACTACAGCTCCCATAATTGCCAGCCTACACAGCCATTAGCAATATTCCCCTTTGATTTTAACATGCATCACCAATGTATTCCTTCCTATAAATTATGGAAATCAGAATAAGGCCATAGCACCCTCATATCTTAGTTACCTGCAAATATTTGATTGATCCATCAATTAATTGATGAGATACAGGGGCCTGTGAGACATGGATTTGTACAACAATGCTTAGGCACTTTATTTATGAAGCATATTTCTATGCTGCTGCAATCAAAATGACTCTCGGCAGCTTACAAGAGAAAATACAATATAAAATGACCACAGTACAACAATAATACAACAAACATATAACAGTACATAAAAGTAAAGATAACAAGGTCAGTCTCAACTCAGGGAAAGGCTCTCTGGAACAGCTCAGGGTTTAAAACTTCCAAAAAACCAACAGAGAGGGAACTAGCCTGATCTCCACAGGGAGGGCATTCCACAGCATCAGTGCTGCAACAGAAAAACAGCACCTCCTTGCCAACCTTATGAAACTTATGACATTGTGCTGCTTATAAAGAGATCTTCTGAGGGCTACAAGATATGAACCAAATAGGAAAGAGCTTCTCCATCTCCTAGAAATATTTTATGTGCTGGATCTGGGAGGCAAAACAGCTGCTAGTTAGAAAGGTCTTCAGTGTTGGGGCGTTTGAAAAGGGTCCTGGCAAATCTGCTAGAAGGGGAAAAACTAAATGTATAATGCTCTGTGTCTTATTTTCTTTAAAGGATACCAGGCAAGAAAAAAGATGAAATTCGAATTGGATTCTTTCAGCTGGTAATAGCATTCCTAGTTTTCATTATTTTTCACATACACTATGTTTCTTTAGAGCAAGGCTGTCAAACTTTTCTATCTAACCCCACCAGTTAATCTGTCCAAGAACCTGGTCCAACCAAAATAGAAACAAAAGTCCAGTTTTCCAAGAAAGACTTTCATGTTTACGTATAAGCAACTTGTCAGAATTTATAAATTCTGCTAAGTTTTAAAGCTTAGTCTTACTGTGTGTCTAACCTGTGGTCCTGTACCATCAGTTGTGAACCACGGCATCAAATCAAGGGGGGGAGGGGAAGATCTCTGGTTTATGGGAACAGCTGTTCACTTACTTACTCAAACCACAGCATCTACAGACTGAAACCAGAAGTCCAGCCTGGAAATTAGCTTTCAGAATCAAAAGTGAAGTCTCAGTGATTTCACTACACAACCTCAATTCTCTTTTCTTCCCCAAATTTCTTTGCTTCTGCAGTGTAATTTAAGGAGGAAAAAAACCCCCTAATTCTTGCACAAAATTAGAAATTCTTTCTAATACTCCAAGTCTTTAACTTATTTGTCTCCATCATTGTTTTAAATCCCAGCAAGGAATCTTTTTGGCAAATTCATACTGCTGTTAATGTTTTATACATGTCTCCAGAGATTTAAAAACTTCCATCATTTTCCTAAAGGCCCTTTTGTCCTACAGGTAGTCCTCATTAAGTGACTGCTTCATTTAGTGACCATTCACAGTTACAACAGTGATAAAAAAGTAACATTGTGACCAATTGTTGCATTTATGACCTTTGCAGGTCTGTAAAGCAAAGATAAGCTGAAGATCATAAGCACAGTTGTGGTTTCACTTAGCGACCACTTTGCTTAATGACCAAGTTGCAGGTCCCAATTGTAGTTGCTAAATGAGGACTATCTTTAATTATCCGTGTTGGGGGATTTAATCAAGAAGGTCCTATGTTGGTCCTGCACTGCAGGCTGAAGTTAGGAACAGGGACATGTTACACCTGAAAGGATGCAATGCTATGTTGTTAGTAAAAATAATGGACCAGTGATGTAAAAAGCAAATGATGTGAAAACCACTGGTAAGCAAACCCTGCCTGTTATTCCTTACAGTTTAGATTTGCTTCTTCATCTGAGATACTGATGATGCTTTTGGGGAGCATCTGTGCCATTCTTCATGGAACAGCCCAGCCGGCCATGCTGGTTGTTTTCGGGATAATGACGGACACATTTATTCAATATGACATTGAAAAACAAGAGCTGAAAGACCCAAACAAAGTGTGCATGAATAACACAATAGTTTGGATCAACAGCTCTCATCACCAGAATGACAGTAACGCATCAATAAGTTGTGGGTAAGTCAGCAAAGTATTTTCAATTCTCTAATTTTATCAAATGGTGTTGGCTGCAATCAGGGACGCTTGTTTGAGAGTTTATACAATGGGTCATCTAAATCAACAAACAATTAGCCTTTCTTTGTGGATGATTACTCCATTAAACTGGGTACTGGATTTGCAACCTTTGTTATTAGAGAAATTAATGTATTTAAAATGATAGTGTCTGACCACATTCTACCTCAGTTAGGTTTCAAACAAGTGTTGACACTTCTCCAGAGATGGGAGAAATTGCTGCTTGCTCAGGAGTTGATAACAGCTTGTGTTCATCTACGGCACCTACAATGGTGTTAAACTTAAAAGAACTATCGGTTTTAACAGGATATTTCAAAACGTTGCATTTTGCAATCACTTTTTTTTCACCATTTGATGATGACAATCAACTTTGTTCTGGCACTTTTCCCCTCCCCTTCAATTTCTATTATCTTGCAGTGGTTTTGTAGAAGCAAGAATAATACATCTAGCGCATTAATCTTCAGTGTCATTAATTTTAGGCTTGAAATTCTGAAGTCACAGTGCACAAACTGAACATTGCAGAACATCCAAGAGCCAAAAATCAGTCTAAATGTGAGGTGGATTGCATTATGCAAAACTTCAAAGGAGTTATTTGATTCAGCAGTGCAATTAAATCATCCCATCAAAGTAATTGGCAAACCAAAGGGTGGCTTTGCAGATCTCATGGCTTTTCTATGTTGCTGTGGTTGTTATAGACACCATGCATGTTGCGATTTCAGTTCCATATGTGGAGAAGCTGAGGAAGTCATCCTCCATATGACTAGTAGAATCTGGGTTTCATTCATCTTCTGTAATATGGCCAGCCACAAGCCTGCACTTTGCTTTCACTTGTGCTGATCAGATGTTACACTGGTCCTGCTGGTTCTGCCCACTCAGCTGTTGGCACTCTGAATAATGAGTGTGTACTGGACTGATCAAGGCTGATCAGTCCAGTACACACTCTTTGGAAGGGTGTCTACAACTGTGCCATCAAAACCCCGCCCCTTTTTAATATGTGTGCCACAAATGCAAAAAAAAGGGGCGGGGTTTCAACCGTGCAGTTGTGCCCACCATCCTGAGTTTTTCAGCCACCCCCTGTGGATGCCCCTGCTCTTAGATCAGATTTTGATTGGGGCAATTTCAGTCTTTGGATAATGACTGAATGAATAGCAAGCTGAAAACTGCAGGCACTGATCTTAAGTCTTACTGTTGTTAAGACTCAACAATAATAAGGTTATGGATTCTACTTATTCTGAACTAGCCTTTTAGTCCTTGGCCTGCTGCTTCTTTCTCGGTCATTGTACCCCATTGAGCTAGCCTCTTCAGCAGCTGCTGCTAAACAACCAATAGAGAGTATTAGAAGCAAGCAACAACTCTGACGTGATAGATTTGTACAATGTGATCATTCTTCAGTGGCAAGCCAACTTTGACATCCTGGAAAAACCAGACGAAAAGCAAGATCTTAAAACTGTGTAAAAAAAAATGTCATTTTTAAATTGTGGCAGGATGCTTGCTGCCTTGATGTAGCACACGACAGTCTCTTTGCTAGTGTAATGGGCTGTGTGAGTAACCTTGAGGAAGAGCTGCAGCCTAAACAACTGTCTGATAAATGAAATCTGAGTCCAAAGCAGGAATGTAATTTGAGAAGGCATCTGAGTTGAGCCTC